GTAAATATTATAACATCTCTTTTGACTTTTGAAACATAGGTTCATTTTACATTGTGTTTTTAAATTTTTATTTATGTATTTTTGAGACTGTCCCGTTGTGTCACCCAGGCTGGATTGCAGTGGTGTGATCATGGCTCACTGCGGCCTCAACCTCCCAGACTCAATTGATCTTCCGTCCAATCCTCCTATCCCAGTCTCCTCAGTAGCTGGTACTACAGGCAAGCACCGCTATGCCAGGCTAGTTTTTTTGTATTTTTTTGTAGAGACAGGATTTTGTCATGTTGCCCAGGCTGGTCTCAAATTCCTGGGCTAAAATGATCTGCCCGCTTCAGCCTCGCAAAATGCTGAGAGTACAGGCATGAGCCACTGCACCCAGCCTTTGGTGTTTTAAAACCTTTTATTTTGGAATACATTTAATAGAAGTTTCAAAGATGGTTTAGATAATTTCTTTCCTTTTTTTTTTTTTTTTTTTTTTTTGAGATGGACCTTCACTCTTGTTGCCCAGGCTGGAATGCAATGGTGTGATCTTGGCTCACTACAACCTCCATCTCCTGGGGTCAAGCGATTCTCTTGCCTCAGTCTCCTGAGTAGCTGGGGTTACAGGCATGCACCGCCACGCCCGGCTAATTTTGTATTTTTAATAGAGATGGGATTTCTCCATGTTGGTCAGGCTGGTCTAAACTCCCGACCTCAGGTGATCCGCCCGCCTCGCCTGCACCTCCACCTCCCAAAGTGCTGGGATTACAGACGTGAGCCACTGCGCCTGGCCAGTTTAGAGAATTTCTATGTAACTTTTACTCAGCCTCCACTAATGTTGCCACCAAATATAGCCAGTGTATGTTTATCATAACTATGAAATTTAACATTTGTATGATAGTATTATTACTATTACCTGAACTACAAACTTTATTTTGTATTTCACCAGTAATTCCATTAACGCCTTTTTCGTATTCAAGAGTCCAATCCAAGACTTCAGATTTGATTTGTCTTGTCTCCTTAGTATACTGTGTTCTTTCACAGTTTCTTAATCTTTCCTTGTTTTTCATAACCTTGGCAGTTGTAGAAAGTACTGTATACAGGTATTTTATACAATGTCCCTCAGGTTGGGTTTGTCTGATGTTTTCTTATGATTAAACTGGGATTATGAGTTTCAGGGGAAAGATCACAGTGCTGAAGTGCTATTTTCATCATACTGTATTAAAGCGTACATGCCATGAATAAGACATATCACTATGAATGTTAAGTATGATCACTTGGCTGAGGTAGTCTCCATTGTCAGTTTGTTTTCCCCCCCTTTTATGTCTGTGTTTTTGAAGTAAGTTACCAAGGTGAGCCCGTACTCAAGGAAAATTCATTTTTACCTTTGGAGAAGGGAGTATATGCTTATATTATTTGGAATTCTTCTATAAGGAACATGTGTCCCTTCTTTCCATTTATTTATCTATTCAATCATCTGTTTTTATCAGTATGGATTTTGGAATGTTTATTTTATTTAGGAGTTATAACCCAATGCCAATGTTACTTATTTTTGCTAAAATTGTTCCAACTTTGGCCATTGGGAATTCTTTCAAGTTGGCTTCCATAACCTTTTGATACTCCCCCATCTTTAAAAAAAAAATGACTGTCTTGCATTCTGACCCTGTAAGTTACACCAGGTTCATGTTGGCATTTTTTTCTGCCTCTGGCCTAGAATCAGTCATTTCTTCTAGGAGCCCTGGCTCCTTTTATTAGAGAGAATGGTATATAGAAACCAAGATCTAGTTGTAAGTGTGTTTGTTGCTACTGGGGTGTCTCTGCTTCTAGACCCTCTAAGAAAGCAGCCCTAACTCTCTATACTAACCCATGTTACAACATACCTGTCCATCTGTATATATATTAAATAAATGTGAGTTCATGCTGGTATGTCCGACTGTAACCTAGTACCACAGGGTTCATTCTATCTTTCCTCTCTTGTTTATTTGTAACTTCTTTATCTGACAGGGAGAAACCTTGTTTCTATTATCTACTATTTATTATGTTTTCTTTTTTTGGGGGGCGGGGGGACAGAGTCTCGCTCTGTCACCCAGGCTGGAGTGCAGTGACGCATGGTCTCTGCTCACTGCAAGCTCCGCCTCCCGGGTTCACGCCATTCTTCTGCCTCGGCTTCCCAAGTAGCTGGGACTACAGGCGCCCGCCACCACGCCCAGCTAATGTTTTGTATTTTTTTTTAGTAGAGACGGGGTTTCACCATGTTAGCCAGGATGGTTTCGATCTTCTGACCTCGTGATCTGCCTGCCTCGGCCTCCCAAAGTGCTGGGATTACAGGCGTGAGCCACCGCACCCGGCCTATTATGTTTTCAATCCCAGTATACATGTTAAGAAGTTTAATGTATACTGGTAGTTTGCTCATTAAGACTTATTTCCTCCTCTTCGTGATATTTCTGAAAACTTTTTTCGGGCTTGCATTGAAGTTTTATATTTTTTAGAGAAGATTTGTGTTTGCTTGTGTTAGTCACTTTCAGGCTGTTCCCCCCCACCCCCTTTTAAAAGCAGTTTTTTATTGTGGTATAATATACATAACATAAAAGTTACTGTTTAACAATTTTTAAGTGTACATTTATACAGTTCCTTGGTATTAAGTACATTTATAATGTTGTGCAGCCACCACCAATATTTATTTTTGGATCTTTTAAATCATTATAAACAAGAACTGTGTACCTATTAAACAGTAATTCTCCATTTCTCTACTTCCTTTAGCCTCTGGTAACCTTCATTCTACTTTCTGTCTCTATGAATTTGCCTATTCTGGGTACCTCATATATGTGGAATCATATAATATTTGTCCTTTTGCATCTGGCTTATTTCACTTAGTAACTGTTTTTAGGGTTCTTCCATCTTGTATCCTGTATCCAGTTTGTATCCCCTTAAGGGTGAATAACATTCCATCGTGTCTGTGTGTGTGTGTGTACATATGTACACACATACTATATTTTATTATTAATCTGTTGATAGAAATTTGTGTTGTTTCCGCCATTTAGCTTACTGTGAATAATGCTACTGTGAACATTGGCATACAAGTGTCTGTTTGAATACATGCTTTTGTTATTTTAGATGTCTACCTAGAAGTGAAATTGCTAGCTCATATGGTAATTCTATGTTTAACTTTTTGAGGAACTGCCAAATTCTTTTCTACAGTGCCTGAACTGTTTTTCATTCCCACTAGCAATGCACAAGAGTTCCAATTTCTCCCACATCCTAGCCAGTACTTGTTACTTTCCATTTTTAAAAGTAAATAATAGCAACCAGGCAGGGTGGCTCACACCTGTATTCCCAGCACTTTGAGTGGCTGAGGCAGGGAGGATGGATTGAGGCCAGGAGTTCGAGAACAACCTGGGCAAAATGGCAAGACCTCACCACTACAAAAAAAGTAAAAATTGCCTGAGCATGGTGGCATGTGTCTGTGATCCCAGCTACTCCATAGGCTGAGGCAGGAAGATCACTTGGGCTCAAGAGGTCAAGGCTGCAGTGAGCTATGATGGCGCCACTGCACTCCAGCTTGGGCTACCTTACCTCAAAAAAAAAAAAAAAAAAAAAAAAAAGGAAAAAAAGCTGTCCTAATGGGTGAGAAGTAGTATCTCATTATGGGTTTGATTTGCATTTTCTAATGGTTAGTGATGCTGAGCATCTTTTCATGGGAGGGTATTTTAATTATGGGTTTTTCATGGCCTTGTACGTTGTGAAAATTCTGACTACATACCCTAGTTAATTGTGGTCTCTTATGGTTAGGGATTTCCTAACTGTCTTGGTTTATTCGGGCTGCTTTATTGAAGTTCATAGACTGAGAGGCTTTTAAACCTCACATTTCTCAGAATTCTGGAAGCTGGGAAGTTAGATCAAGAAGTCCAGATTCAGTATCTGGTAAGGTCCCACTTTTTCACAAATGGTACCTTCTGGCTGTCTCGTCAAGGAATGGAAGGGGCAGACAGTCTCCCTTGGGCCTCTTTGATAAGGGCACCAATCCCATTCATGAGAGCTGTGCTCTCATGATCTACTCAGCTCCCACAGGCCCCACCTCTTAATACCATCCATATCTTGGGGTTAGGATTTCACCATATAAATTTGGGAACATTCAGACCGTAGCACTGACCATGGGGTGAATATACTTTATTTGTCTTTAGTTCAAGTAAAAAAGCCAGAACCAAGCGTAAGACATCAGAATTATCCCCAGTTCGTCTTCAGTGAGTTTTTTGTTTTGTTTTGTTTTTCCCTAGTTCACCCAGAGTGTTGCCCTTCAGCTTGTCTGGTTTTCAGTCTGACTTCTCATTTTGCTGGGGCCTTGAGGTTAACCTAATAAAGCCTGGGTTCTAGGACATCGGGTTTTTAGTCATACAGTACCGAGAAAGAAATGCCATCTTTGGAATTTCATTTAGCCCTCCGGGTTCCCACTTTCTAGTTGTTAATCGCTTCAAGAGGTTTCAGCCATGCACTTATAAAATTTTTTAAAATTCATAATGAGCACATTTAGTGTTCTGATCTAGAGTTTTTTAAGTTGTCAAGTTTTAACTACATTGCCAAAGCAGGAAACCTTGTTTTGTTCTTTTTCTGTTAAAAGGCAGGTATCAGTGAGTTTAAGGGAGAGTCTAGCAGTCTGCATACAGTTCTCGTGAAGAATGCAAGCAAACTATTTATAGGTACTTATTTCTAGAATCAGTGATCAAAGATGAGATTTAGGGCTGATTTTATATATTAATACATATTCATGTGCCCTCCATTTTTATTATAGCTTTCTAATCTGAGCTTCTTTGTGTAGCAAACACATGTATGGATGACTATGAATTAGTAAAAACAGATTTTAATGCTTTTTTCTCTTTGGAGGAAATCAGATGTTTACAAAAAATAGACAAAGACAAGCCAATTAAAACAAAATCTAGAATAATCAAAGAGCTTGGGAAATGCTCACATTTGTTTTATATTGAATAGCTCTATTAATGAATACTTATTGCAGTTTGTTTTTATTTCAGCTTTGGCTAGATCAGAGTCTAAGAGAGATGGAGGTTTTAAAAATAATTGGAGCTTTGATCATGAAGAAGAAAGTGAAGGAGATACAGATAAAGAGTAAGGATTTTTTTTTCCCTCAGATGTTTTATAAGAATAAAACTTCTCATTAGAAAAACAATTTCTATTCCATAGAAATATTTTTAGGAATATGGTATTCTTAAGAAAACATTTAACTCTTTCACAGTCGCTTTAAGGAAAGAAAAAGCAGTTCTTTATTGATAAATTATTTTACTGTTATTTTCTCCATCTTTTGAAATGTATAAATATATGCTTGTAATACATGTAACCTTATAATTAAAAATTGACTGTACAATGGAAGGCTTCAAAATAAGGAAATTGTTTTTTGTTTTTTAAAAAGGCATTCTGTTCAGGCAGCAGTTTGAAAAGCCACCATTTATCATGAGTAAGTGAACCCAGATTAAGACCCTTGCATTTTGTATGAAAGTTTAAATACTGTAGTATCTTTCTTCCCCAGTTGTGACCACACCCCTACCACATCCATCTTAGGTCAGATTCTCACCAGAGAAAGCAGAACCATTATAAATGATAAACACAGGTGTTTACCCAGACAGAAGTTAAGCAAAGTGTTCATTACACTTTGTTAATCTACTTGGAATGACTGTTGTGTAAAAATTTTAAATGATAGTTTTAATAGAACTTTTTGTATGTTGTGAGATTTGTTTTTAAAATTCAACATTCAGTTTTTTGGCCGGGCGCAGTGGCTCATGCCTGTAATCCTAACACTTTGGAAGGCCAAGGCAGGTGCATCATTTGAGGTCAGGAGTTCAAGATCAGCCTGGCCAACATGGTGAGACCTCATCTCTACTAAAAATACAAAAAATTAGCTGGGTGTGGTGGCGCACACCTGTAATCCCAGCTACTCAGGAGGCTGAGGCGGGAGAATCACTTGAACCCGGGAGGTAGAGTTTGCAGTGAACCCAGATCATGCCATTGCACTCCAGCCTGGGCGACAGAGTAAGACTCTGTCTCAAAAAAACAAAAACAAACAAGAAAACATTGTTTTTAGGTTTTTGATTTATTGATCTTGTTTTCTGCTGGCCAAAATAAACAACAAATTCAGAGATACACAAATATACACATGAAGTTCTACCAAAACTATAAATATGTTAGAGAAATTTTTATACAAGAAGTCATTCAGAATATATTGGCTAAATATTGTAGGTGCTTCACTTCTGTCTGAGCAACAGCTCCGTTCATCATTACCACTTTATGTGCCTTCACCGATGAGATGTTGATTTGAAGTTTTATTTGAAGGAGAACTTTGAACTGGTAAGTCTCTCATTTAAAATCAGTATTTTATGGTTTTCTTTCTTTCATTTCTTTTATACTTTTTCTGATTACTTTAAAATATTAAACAATTATTGTTATATTCAGTATGCATATAGTTTTGAAAAATTAAGAGTTAAATCTGAAATTAAGCTGCATAGAAAATATAACACCTCTTAAACATGTTTGTAAAATGTTTATGAGATAACTTTTATCATTAAAAAAATTTGGGATGTATATAAATGTTGTAATAAAATATTTTACATTTTTGTGTAAATATCTAGGACTTTACAATAAATACCTTAGCTGAGTTGTCTTCGAAAAGGTTGTATTTGATTTTCTTTGGTGGCAGATTTACTATAGTTACACATTTTTTAAAAGCTGTCTTTAAGGTGCTACCTGTTCTGTACATTTCATTTATGAATTGTACTTTTTGGTTCATCATGAGTCTCAGGGATATCAGCTTTTTGAACATGTATCTATTAACAGGTTCATGTTATCTATTAACATGATAACATGATAATTTAATCTTTTAGAATTTCAGGCCAGTGATTTCTCAGTGAAGAGTTGATATTTCCAAGAGTGGTGGAAGTATACTATTTTACCATGGTAATAACACTGGAATTACTTCCTTTTCATTAGCTAAGACTTTCTTTCCTTTCAGTTCATTTCTTCTCCATTATTTTGTTTCTCTTGTCTTTCTATCCTTAATTTTCAATCTAAGACAGAAAGGAAAAATAAGTGAGAATAAACAAAATCCATAGCTAAATAAACAGAATTATGTGTTCATCTATTGTAGGGTTCAGCAAACTATGATCCATGGGCTAATCTTGCGTGCTATCTAATTAGTAATTTTTGTGGGAACATAGCTACATGTATTGTTTATGGCTATTTTCATACAACATATGAGTAGCTACTACAGAGACCCTATGACCTGCAAAGCCTGTGGTCTGGCCCTTTACAGAAAAAGTTTGCTGATTCCCTGAATTAGGTGAACATAGAGGATAAAACCTCAGAATGTAATATAAGGATTATAATTGCTACTTAAGGTTTTTTTCCCCTTATTTTCTGTGTAGTGGGACAAATCTGCTCAGTGTGGATGAAGATGAGGATTCTGAAACCTCAAAAGGAAAAAAGGCAAGTGTTGCTTGAAATATTGTTTTACGTTATATACAAAAAAAATTGTTACCTCAAAAGAAGACCTAATATTTTAAATTTATAAACCCCAGTTACCCACTTTCTCCATCCCAGAGGCAAATGGTGTTCCCAATTTGTTATTTATCACTTTGGGAATGTTTTATGCATTATAAAGAAGAGAAATATTTCTACCTCCCATGTTACACAATTGGTAAGATACTGTGCATGATCTTCCTTTAACTTAATATATCTTGGAGACCATCTGTAAGAGTTCATAAAAACACCTCATTCTTTTCAGTGAGTGCATAGTATTCCATTGTGTTATATACCATTAACCAGTTGCACCTATTGATGAATATTTAGTGTTGTCAACTTTTTAATTCTTTTCTAAAATAATGTGTAAATTAGCCTTCTATATGGGTTATTTTGCAGACATACAAGCGTATCTGTAGAATGAATTCCTAAAAGTTGCACTGCTTTATCAGGACAGGTCCATTTCTAATTTTGGCGTACCAGATTTACACTTGTTCCATCAATATCTGAACGTTATCTGTTTCCCCACACATCTGTCATAATGTCATCAACCTTTGATCTTTGCCAGTGAAAACTGGTATCTCAGTGTAGTTTTAATTTCCATTTTATTTTTTGTGCGGTTGAATATCATTTCATATGTATAGTCTAATTCTTTTCTAAAATAATTGTCAGTTAATATCCTTTGCCTGTTTCTCTATCTGGTCTTTAGAATATTATTCATAGGAATTCTTTTTATATTTAGTCTAAGACACATTTTTTTTTTTTTCCACATTTTGACATCTTTGAAATCTGGATGCATCTTATAAGATAGTGTGACACGCTTTAATTATTTTTAAAAACTTTTTGGCCAGGCGTAGTGGCGCACGCCTATAATCCTAGCACTTTGAGAAATTGAGGTGGGAGAATTGCTTTAGGTCAGGAGTTTGAGACTACCTGGGCAACATAGTGAGACTCCATCTCTAAAAAATAAAAATTTTTGCACAGTACATATGATAGTGGTATATTATGTAATAGTTTTATGGGTTTGATGAAATAAGGTATTTTGGAGAAATTGGCCCTTTGCTGTGATACTAGTTGTTAATATATATACGTGTGTGTGTACTGTTTTTTTTTTTTTTTGAGACAGAGTCTGGCTCTGTTGCCCAAGATAGAGTGCAGTGGTGCAGTCTCAGCTTACTGCAACCTCCGTCTCCTGGGTTCAGACAATTCTCATGCCTCAGCCACACGGGTAGCTGGGATTACAGGCATACGCCACCATGCCTGGCTAATTTTTGTATTTTTAGTAGAGAACGGGTTTCACCATGTTGGCTAGACTGGTCATGAACTCCTGGCCTCAAGTGATTGTCCTGTCTCTGCCTCCGAAAGTGTTGGGATTACAGACCTGAGCCACCGCACCTGGCCATTACTAAAATTTTAACTCAGGTTTTTCACTAGTCTTTTGTCTTTGCTTATGATGGCTATTGCCATGGGGAAAATATATTTCTTTATGTCATCAAATGTATCATTTTTTCTTTTAAAGGCTTTTGGGTCTACTGTCTTTGTTCTTAATAATGTTAATTTAATAACTTATTTGGGGCTGGGCACGGTGGCTCATGCAAGTAATCCCAACACTTTGGGAGACCAAAGCAGGCAGATCGCTTGAGGTCAGTAGTTCGAGACTAGCCTGGCCAACATGTTGAAACCTCGTCTCTACTAAAAATAGAAAAAATTAGCCAGGTGTGGTAGTGGGCACCTGTAGTCCCAGCTGCTTGGGAGGCTGAGGAAGGAGAATTGCTTGAGCTCAGGAGGCGGAGGTTGCAGTGAGCTGAGATTGCGCCACTGCGCTCCAGCCTGGGTGACAGAGCGGGACTCAGTCTCCAAACAAAAAATAAAACAAAAAAACCCACTTTTATATGCTTTGTCTTATTAGATATGTAAAATAGTTTCACAACAGTAATACCAACATAATTACCAATAAAATGATTTTCAAATTATTTTGTTTCCTAGTTTTTGATGACACATATAACAGGTATATGTGTCCCACTAGGAATGTGTATTTAAATTAGTACATTTTTAAGTAATTTGGAATTGTTTATTTCTGTTTGGTATTCTACCAACTGAATAGAGAGTTAGGTTTGTTGTTGTTGTTGTTTTTAATTTTGTTTTTTGTAGTGAGGAATTGCATTTTATTTTCATTTTAATTTTTATTGTATAAATTTTTTGTATGGTTTCAGCATCACATCTCAAAAGAAGTAATTTTCAGAGAAATCTAATTTTATCTTGATTCCCTTTATTCTGTTTTCCCTATAAGTGACTTGTTTTAAAAATTAGGTGGCTTAGCTTTTTTTTTAATATATATGTAAGCATATACTACTTTTCTTGGAAAAACTATCCATACTGTTTGCTGACACCTTGATTTTCTTACTTAACAGTATGTTATAGAGATCACTCTACAGCAAAGTATTTACAGATCTTTGTCATCCTTTTTATTATATAGTACTCCATTGGATGGATATACTGTAGATATTTAATTTGTCCCTACTGATGAATAGAGATTTTTCCCCCAGTCTTTTGCTATTACATATAAGACTTTACTAAAACCTTGTGCATATATATTTTTTTCATATCTGTGTAGTATATTTGTGGGATTCCTAGAATTGAAGTTGCTATTTCAGAGGTGAAATTCACATGTGATTTTGCTAGATACTGCCAAATTCCCTATCTATAAGTGTTAACATTAGCCATTCCCACTAGCAGTGTATGACTCTATTTCCCTATAATCTTGCAAAATATGTAGTCACACTTGAATTTTTGCTGATCTGAACATAGCACCTTCTTCACATATTTCCTGTATTTACACTGTAAGAATTTGAAGAACTTTTACATTTCCTTTTTTCCCCTGTCTTTCTGTTTTTTTTTTCCCCTCTTCAACAGCTCTATTTTGTCATAATTTGAGGAAATTTATTTTGTTTATTTATCTATTGATACTGAGTCTCACTCTCTTGCCCAGGTTGGAGTGCGGTGGTGCAGTATCGGCTCACTGTAACTTCTGCCTCCCGGGTTCAAGCAATTCAAGCAATTCTCCTGCCTCAGCCTCCTGAGTAGTTGGGATTACAGGCGGACACCACCAAACCAGCTAATTTTTATATTTTAGTAGAAGTGGGGTTTCACCATGTTGGTCAGGCTGGTCTTGAACTCCTGACCTCAAATGATCTGCCCACCTTGGCCTCCCAAAGTGCTGGGATTACAGGCGTGAACCACTGTGCCTGACCTGAGGAAATTACTGAATTTGATGTTTTTCTGTTAATAGTATTAAGTTTTTCTTTATGAAGTTTTTCATACTGAAAAACTCTTAAGGTTTTTCCCACTGCAGGTTTTCCTAGCTTTTATTTTAACATCTGGATTTCCTGAAGTGCTGCTTTTTAGGTGTTCTTTACATAGACAAGAAAAAAATAGAAAAAAAGGAGTGAACTGGGTAGATGAAAATAAGATGTGGGTGGGCACGGTGTCTTTTGCCTGTAATCCCAGCACCTTGGTAGGATGAAGCAGGATGATCGTTTGAAGCCAGGAGTTTGAGATCAGCCTGGGCAACAAAATGAGACTCTACCAGAAATAAAAAATAAAAGATGTTTTCTATCACTAACTTATATAGGGCATTGGTCTTAATGTACATATATAGAGCTTTCAGATTTTTTTTTTTTGAGATGGAGGCTTGCTCTTTCGCCCAGGCCAGAGGGCAGTGGTATGATCTCAGCTCATTGCAACCTCTACCTCCTGGATTAAAGGAATTCTCCTGCCTCTGTCTCCAGAGTGACTGGAGACACCACCACGCCACCACGCCTGGCTAATTTTTTATATTTTTAGTAGAGACCATGTTGGTCAGACTGGTCTCGAACTCCTGACCTCATGATCCGCCCACCTCGGCCTCCCAAATTTCTGGGATTACAGGTGTGAACCACTGTGCCTGGCCTGCTTTCAGATTTCTTATGATTTTTTTGTAAAAGTATATGCTTTATTACATATTTTTAAAATGTAAATATTTATGTTTTAAGGTAAAACCTACAGGACACATTGATTTATGTAGTGAACTCTAAAGATCATTTTGATATGATAGTATCATCTATTTTAAATATACATGGACCATCTCTTCTTTAACAGTTAGAAATTTTATATTGTGCCTTTTCCCTCTTAAATTCATATTTCTTCTGTTCAGTTTTCCCACAGAATCTTAATATGATATACTTTTATGTAATTGAAAATCTTTTTATTATCCTATCGCACTTTAATAGAGATATTCTTCACTGAAGATAAACTTTACTGAAGCTTAACATTAAGTAAAACTCCTGCTACTAAAGTTTGTTTTTTTAAAAACTGAGTTATCATTATAATGATTAATGAACACTTGATCTAAAAAGTATTACTATAGATATTTATAATTATTAAATTTATTATGCAAAATAGTATTGGAAATTTATCTTTTAACATGGATGAGGCTGATGGTTTCCCTTTTTATTCATTTAGTTCATCTGTTCATGAATCCGTATTACCTGAATGAAACTTTCTGAATAATTTTACTCTTTCTTAAAAATGGACACGTAACAGTTGTACATATTTATGGAGGGAAATTTATTTTTAAACTTTTTTGTTAGACACAAGTGCTGAGAAATCCTGGTTACATTCTAAGTAGATAAATATGGAAATAGTCTTGCTATAGTATTATCGTACAATTCTTGTTTTATTTGAGACAGAATCTCTTGTCTCCCAGGCTGGAGTGCAGTGGGGCAATCTCGGCTCACTGCAGCCTCTTCCTCCTAGGCTTAAGTGATCCTCCCGCCTCAGCCTCCCAAGTAGCTGGGACTACAGGCGCCTGCCACCACATCTAATTTTTGTATTTTTAGTAGTTTTAGTGGTTTTGCCGTGTTGGCCAGGCTGGTCTCAAACTCCTGACCTCAAGTGATCCACCCACCTTGGCCTCCCAAAGTGCTGGA